GTTATGAAAGTTCTTATAAGGGGTTGTTTATGGAACACTAATGCTTTGTTACGAGTAGTACGTAAAATTATTTTTTGCCGTGTCTCCTAGTGTTCATTCTTAATTTTTTCTTTCTTTCAAATTCTTTCTTTTCTTTCAAATAAAGACTTACAATCAAACAAATCCACAATTAGTATCTTCATAATTAATAAATTCAAACATAAATTAGCAGTAAGGCAGTAAGGCAGAAAGCCCTGTAAAACGTTTCTTTTTTGCTGCCAACTCGCCTTCAGAAACTGTTCCGAAGTCGTACGTTTGTTTTTGAAAAAGTTTAAAAAATTAAATAGTAAATGAAAGAACACTACTATAAACAAATGTGTAGATATATAACTAAATGTTACTAACTTCTAGCTTGACCATCTACATTGTGGACATTTGAATAAACGTGCAAATTTGTGGTAAATACTTTATAAGTTTCCAACGCTTGTTGCTAATTCTATCGAATAAAAAAACAACTTTCTGCACATTTTAATACGTTTACGATTATTATAATACGTAATTTATCATTTCCTTTTTACACAAATAACAGTTATGTGTGTGAAATGTAGCTGCTAGCTAATCACAGAGTCATATGTGACAAGAATGCCTCAAACAAAGCGAGGGAAATTCGAATTTTACAATTGGATTTTTTCCCTTTCGATGACACAGTGCATCGAAAATGGGCCAGGATAACTTTCATTACAGTTCTTTGCTACATACGTGAAGAAAATTATAGAAAAAACTAGAGCCGTTTCTGTGAAAATAATTGATTAAAATATATAGATTGCCTATGTATGAAGAAAAATTACGCAAAAAATGCTCATATTTTCTAAAAATTGAACATAACCTGATTTGAAGATGTTTTTTATGAACACATCTCAATACGAAAAAATATCTTCCTAATTCTAGTTGTAGGAAGGCGCTGAAAAAGTTTGAATATTTACAATTTCCGAAAAAACACGTAACGAAAATGAGACCTGCAACATTCTCTTAAACGATTGGAGTAACGATATCGAAGGTTAAATTTAACCACAACATTTGGCGTTGTTCTTACAGAAAACATTGTTCAGAAAAATTGAAAATTACATATATTTTAAGCAAAATTATGTGGAAACTACTCAAATTTTCAAAAAATTGAGCGAAACCTTAATTCAAAATCTGTTTTTCAAGAACTGATTTAATCAATAAAAAATATGTATCTTCAATATTTTAGTTGCAGGATAACAAATTTTGAATTTTTGCATCTTTCGAAAAATAAGGGAATTTAATAAAAATTACACCAGCTCCGTTCTCTTAAGCATCTATTACGCTATCCGAGTTAAAAATTTGACGCCAATTTTTTGAAACTTTTGAAAATGTCACAGAGGCTTCACGTTAAGTACATCACAAAATTTGAAAATGTTTCAATTTAAAGTGGTCGCAACTCATCACCGGCACGCACATCACCGATTGAGGTCCATTGAGAAATATAACTTTCAGTGAAAATCCTACTTACGGTTTAGCCGCTAGCGTTGTTCAGACATACGGACGGTCAGACGTTTTGCCGTCAATCAATTTTTTGGTATCAAGAACCCACAAAACATGAATTCTGACTACACAACGTATTAGACGAAGTAATTTACTATATACAGGGACAAGATTTATCCACTTTCAGTTTCCAGGGAAATACGAAATGATCATACACTACCATAACTGGGAGTGAACTACTTTATCTGCAACGGCTTCCCATCTAAAGCATCCACATCAAATTTCATGGAAGCAGTGTCGAGGCTTCAGAAGGCGCATTTAAAGCCAGCTCAGAAATTGGCATTACTTCATACATACATAATGCCACATTACCTTCATCAACTGGTTTTATCCAGGCTGTGTTCATGCTCACGGAAGCAGACGGTCAAATCAGAGTCAAACAATTCCTACATCTGCATATGAGTACTGCAGATGGCTTATTCTACGTAGTCATTAAGGGCAAGGGCAAGGGCCTCCTGCTCCCACAGGGAATTATTAATCCTTCTTCATTGAAGTGATATGATGATGATGATGATGATGATGATGATGATGAAGGGTGAAGAGACGATCACATGCCCGAGGCGGGATTCGAATCCACGATCCTACTCGACACTACTGCCTAAGCGTTCTCGGCTCTCCGTATCGACGAACCTAGGATCCAGAGAAAATCTGCAGATCCTATTTGCAGATGATTGAGTTCCTATCTGAGTTTCTACCAACGGACATTAAAGACCACAATAACACAGATTCAGCTGGCCCTATTGTGTAAAAGATTTAAAGGCATACAAGAAATGCTTCGATGGCGAGGTAGCCGCCTGGGAGAAACTTGGATCCCAAAAGAGAGCAGTTGGGGCGCATGTGGCCGATCCGATTGGAAATGCCTTTCTGAAAGATTATCATCTTCCCTGTCTTTTTATCACTGCACTCCAATTGAGATCAAATACCGCTGCAAAAAAAACTACTCTTAGTAGATAAAGGCCCAGAAAGGATGTAAGCTGCAGGAAGTGCAATACAGCGGTAGAAACCATGAATCCCATCGTCGGCCAGTGCATTTTTACGAAGCCAGCAAGAATAAAGCGTCACGAGATCAAGAACTTCGTGGAGAGGAAGACGTTCCGGAAATGGGATACCTTGATGTCCACGGAAGCCACTTTCTCCGCTGCCAAAAGGTGTTAGTCTCGAACCCGACCTGCTAGTAAAAGCCCGGGAAGGGGTCCACGAGGATGGGTTTGGTCTTCTGGAAGCAGGGGAGGAAAAGGTGGAAAAATACCAATTAGTCATCTCTCTAGCAGCCCAACTTCATGGAGTGCCCAACGCCAGAATCTTGCCAGTGGTGGTTGGAACCTCTGGGGCTATGCCAAGATCCACAGTCAGTGCTCGCAAGACCCTGGGGATCGCGTCTAGAGGCGATCTACTATCTCGTTAATTTCTCTCAGAAGCTCTATTAAACTCTACACACAATTTGTAAATTACGATGGAGCAATTTAGCATTGCTGGTAATAAATGCCGAAAAGGAACTTCATAGTCCCGTGGGGAAGTCTAGGGAACCCAGGGGACGCTAAAATGTCTAGGAAGTACTTAGTTACCTCGTATTTAAGTGGGAAGTGTATGCTATTTAATGTAGCATACAGAAAAATGTGCAGTCAGAATCTACGTTTTGGAACGAACTCGAAGTCCTACGAGTTTAATATTGATATTTTCATTTTGGGGGCACTGTAATGAAGTCACATTTTCAAACTTTTATCAAAGATGGCTCCAAATTTTTTTACTTAAACTTTGTACTCTGATCGCGTAGAGAACATTTAAAAATGGTGATGTTCTAATTTTGTTGCAATATCTGAATTTTCAGAAACTACAAAAGTTCAAAATGTTTTCAGCGTTTCCTACATCTACAACATTAAAGATAAAGATTACCTGATTAAAATGTTCTCAAAGACAGATCTTGAAATACGCTTGTGAACGATTTTTAGAAAATGTCCTTTCCAAGCAAAAATGCCTTATTTTTTCGCGTGAAAACTGGTTGAAAATTGCGCCCTTTCATAAAAAAAATCGAACGACATTTTCTGAAAAACATTTCCATCCCCCCTGCATCTGCTTATGTGGTTAGAGCTAATTGTACTGAATAAACATTATATCAACACTATTTTCATATATTCGTTTGAATGTATTTTTTAAAGTATTTTCACGTTAATATTATATATAATTTCTTTAGACATTATTGGATTAGTGAGTTCAAGTGCTTCAAAAGATTCCTGAAGATGTTTCTCCAAATTTCGAAAGCTTTCAGTAAAAATAGGTCAAAATTGCGCACATTCAGAAACGTTCAAACAATTACTCAAAAAAGGACCCTATCTTACTTTCTCGCAACTGCTTACGTAGTAGAGAGAAAGTATTGTAAGGTTGCAAAAAATACGGAGAATATTTGACAGACTTTCTGGGCACAATGTGCACAGCGTCTCGTCTCGAAGGGAAACCTAATCATGAACCGTTTCAAGCTAGGGTCGTCATAAATGGTGGTCTGTACACGGGGGCCACCCTGCGCTCCCTCGCCCGGGGCTTCGTCCACAGTGTCCGCTGCCAGTCGCTCCGAGGAGCACGACGGGGCCGTGAGCTGCAGACCACCCGACCCCCTTCATCCGTGACGTGGGAGAATTTTTTTCTGTCAGGCATTTAATTATTGAAAAACGGGCACTTTCCGTAGCATGGTTACAATACTTTCTCTTTACCGCGTACATAATGATAGGAATGTAACAGCAAATATGTAGGTCATTTACTATTGCAAATAAGGAGTGAACTAAGGACTGAAATTAAGGACTGAAATTAAGGACTGAAATTAAGGAGTGAAAATGTGTAGTTTTCAAGTGTTACTAACCGCGCTTTGTTTGTACCTTTGGTTCATTCTCAACATATATCAAATAACTTTGAGAAATTCGTTGGACATTTTGATGACTTCCACGATTCAGAAATGAATTGCACGAATTATGATCCATGATCACCACTCGCCTGCTTATGTAATGACTTGATCTTGCTGAATGTGAGAAAATTAAAAATATCTGGTCATAGAGTAGGGCGTGGATGAATGAAAGTCTCAACTCGAAAGTGGCTGTAAGGGCATAGATGATCAAAGATAAACTCCAAAATATTGTTGCAGTTCATGTTATTGTTAAGAAGGAATTACTAGCGTAAAGCATGCCGTATTTCTAAACGAATGAAGAAAATGTAACAGGAATAGGTGCTAAGGAACTAGAACTAAGGAAACCGAAGGTAGTAAAATTATTTTCTACTTGCAGAAGCAAAAATCGCATTGGTTTTATTCTAATTTTATCAGACTTACTCAACGCGTGATTATTTTACACGATGTTCCAAATATAATTGTGTGTCACAATTTTTTCATATAATTAAGGTATAATATAAGGGTATATGTTATAATTACGTTACTGATTTAAAACTTTAATGTTTTATTAAAGTTAACTTACCAATGAAACCAATAATTACGCTTTTAGAGAACTTATCCCTCTGCAGCATATCATTTTGAATCGTTGGAAATGTTGAAGCTCCGCCAAATGAAAACAATATTGTTCCGAAAGCTAAGAAAAAACTATGAAAAGTAGGATTTGTTAGCTGCATTGGAGTTTTTAACTCAGATTTATCCATGACTATCTGCATAAATATGAAGATGCATGCAAATGCAGTTGTTAAAATAGCACCAATGCCCACAAGTCTGAAACACACATTCATTATTACAAATTCAGTTTTCATAATCATGATAGTAAATTACATTTTAATTATTTTTTTCAAATCTTCTGCCAGATCTGCAAATAAGAAAAAATAATACATTTTGATTTTTTGCTTTTTTCGGATACTTAAAGGAAACCGAGCTGTTTGGAACTTATTATTCTGACCCAGAGAATTACAGAAAAACATATCGATAGCAGCACATCTAAACAATTATGTGGTTCATTAAGTTTAATGATGTCAACCATATGAATCATGTCCTAGGGATTAACGCCATGCTGAAAAGGCAATGTGCACACTGTTTCATCACTGTCTTTTAAACCCTAAAAGCCAGATTGTTCTATAATTCTTCGAGAATATTCTAAAAAGATTCGATTAAGAATATCGTCAATGAAGTTGTATAGTCGAGAACAAATGAGTGAGTAATTAAACGCCTTTATAAGTACTTTAAAACTCACCCTCAAATCGCGATTTAGATGTTTAAATCTCCTCAAACGCGTTTTTTTCGCCAACTCTAACAATGTTTTGACATGATACGAAAAAATGGCTTGTTTCCCACCAACAAAACGAGATGCGTTGTATGACGACATCTTAATTGCCCCATACTGTGGGCCAAATGGGGTGATAACCATGACAGAGGGATACACTCAAGTTACCTGATAACTATATTAGTCATTCCACGTCAAATCGCACACTCACATAACATCATTATTTTTTTGCGTCTTCAAACTTTTCTTATGAGATCTAGGGTTGAAATTAGGTGACGCGTATTTTTCATTTTTTTCTAACCTCGCCTATTACAATTTTTTTTTCATAAAAATCATGCTCGCGCTAATGTTTCAATGTAAACTGTTTGCACAAATACCGTTTCCTTCAGAAAAATAAAATTATACTTAAATTTAACTTAATATTAAAATGTACTTTTATATGATGTAAAAATATTTTTGTAAACATATTATTTAAATATTTAAAATATATTTTAACTTTAAAATACAAATTTTTGAGAAGGTCGACACTTAAATTAATTGTAAAAATACTCATGTAATTCTACACTAATGATGTATAGCTCTGCCAAATTTCAAAGTGGGTCAAACATGAATAACATGTTTTAATGGTTTGTTCACAGGAGCACGCACGGACTCGATGCTCAAACTACGGGGCGTCAATGACACGACGCATCGTCTAACATAAAGCAACAGTGAGACATGGCATGTTATGTATCCCAGAAAAATACATAGTCTCAAATGGAAATCTTATGACGAAATGCGACTGTTAAGTTTATTTATAAACAATTGACACTGTTAGGGTCTGCCTGAAACAGAGCCGCCTTCTTTCTCACATATACTGAGTCAGTTGTGTAAGCTGAGGAATCCGTGTAACATGCGTTGTTCTGTGAAGTCAGTAAACACAATACGGCAATACGATAGTCTTACAAGAGTATCAATTCTATTTCTAATTTTATTTTCTTAATAAGAAAAACTATAACTGCAGATGAGTGTTCTTTTAGGTTGTTACAACCAGCATTCTTGAGACGTTGAAAATTGTCTGGTTGCCGTAAAAAAAGGAGTGTATATTGGAAAAACTGTTTTTCAAAATTCCTTCTCGAGACGAGTAAAGTGGAGTTTTTTCAAGAAAGTAAGAATCGACCATACTCGTTAATGCCGCAAATATGTCGGGAAGTGACAATGATGAATAAACGTGCATCGCTGGTCCTGGCCACCCTAACGTATCACCTGATATGAGTAATAAAGGAACAGACAGAATAAGTTCTTCTGTTTTGTTTGCTACCTTCGTTCATCGTTGCCGTCTTCTGCTCTCTTCATAAAATTTGACGCTACTAGTCTAATGTCCAATGTGATATTTTTTTAATAAATCTTTCGTACATGAAGATGTTATTCAGAGACTGCTGTGAATAAATGCCTTAGCTACTCTGCATTCTTTTGGGCTATACTTCAGAGAAAGCAAAGAATATAAAACTTTAAATAAAAATGATTGATGTCTGAAACACGACACAAATTCACTTCAGTGTAAACACATTACACTTCTCAAGTAAGATTATGACAGTGTTAACAGGCCTATTTTTCGGATGGGGTCAGTACATAGTATTACAAAATAATGCTAGTTAATGCATTCATAAAGATGCCTTCAATATGAGTGCTGATTCTCATTTCTTTGCTTCGCAACGTCTTATGAAAAGGGGCCATGCTACATGGGGGAGGGAACTATAATATTTTCGATAAAATTTAGCCTTGAATCCTGCCAGAAACCATTTTATATACCCAGGAACTTATTTAAGTGGGCTGATGATAATGTGAACAATATAATCTTTATACTTTTAGCAAAGTTAAACAATACGTAGAAAAATGACTATTGCAACAATAATATAATAAAAACCAGTAGAGAGCACAAAGAAAATTCATAGTTTAATTTCTTTATGACAAGGTGAATTCACGTTATTATCTGTAAACTGAAGTAAAAGAAATATCAACGTAATTAACTGTTTCACATACACTTATTCGTGTAAATATTCAGTCCGTTTAATAGTAAATTGAATCCATTTGACACTTTTTAATTTGAATTTAATCGGCTATGAAGGTCGTAGATACATGGCGCATAGTAAGATGTAAAGGGATAATTTTATTTATTTCTCTGTGAAGGTATAATGATGGTAATTGGCTTCTGCTGATTGGCACGTGATTGAGGGATGACGCTCTAGCAGGCGCGGCAGCAAAACATCAAGTAGACATTTCCATTTAATTTCTCAGAATCATCTCGATGACCCACTTTGTAACTTACCAAACTTATGTAGCATTTTTCAGAAATTTCAATGGTATTTTTTTCAAACTTTTAAACTGTCGCGTTTTGGGAGAAATTAAAAAATAAAAATGACATAGGTCAAATATATATATATATATATATATATATATATATATATATATATATATATATATATTAATCAATAATAAATATATACAGTGGCTCACTTTAATATTCGAACACCCAGATATACTCCAGAAATCGTAATTTCTACGATATTTTGACGGTTGTAGTATAGAGCAATATAAGCAGAAAGTGAAACATAATTGTTCCTTTATTAACCGATAACAGTACAAACAAAACAATAATGCCGAATGTAGTTGATGCATTCAATAAAAAAGAAAACAAAATAAAATTTTATGTATTCATTAGCCACAGTAATATTTGGACACGTGAAATGAAAAATTAAAAAATGAATAAATAAATAAACGAAAAGAAAATTAATTCTTTGTAGTATAACTATTGTTGTCAATGACTTGCTGCAATCACTTTGGCATTGAACCAATAATCCTCTTCCGGTACTGTTGTTCAATTTGTGCCCAATTTCCCTTGATTCTCGCTTGCAGACGTAACGTAATTGGGATTCTCCTGACTGCGCATTCCAATTCATGCCATAAATTCTCGAATATATTGAGGCCGGGAGACTGAGGCCGCGTTTTCTGCACTATTGGACAATTGTACAACAACCATTCTCTCACTAGATATGATTTGTGTTTCCAGTGGTTATCTTGATAAAATTTAAACGAACTCGTCGCCCAGTGTGTCAGCAGATTTGTGTAAATTCTGTTTCAGAATGTTGAGATACTGATGTTTGTCCATTTTGTCTTTAATAAACACCAGCTCCCCCACGCCAGCAGCAGATATGCAACCCCACACCATTTGTGTCCACCTCCGTGTTTCACAGTTGACACTACGTTTTTATGATGAAATTCTGTATTTGGTTTACGCCATATCATTTTCCTACCGTCACTGCACAAAATATTAAACTTTCTCTCAACTACAAAAATCACTTCACGCCACCAACCCTCTGATTTCGTCACAAATTCCTTTGCAAAATGAAGTCGTTTAGCTCTATTCCCAGCGCCGATAAAGGGCTTCTTCCTGGTCGCTCTGCCGTGACATCCGGCATTACTAATTACTCGGCCTACTGATTCGGGGTGCACAAATGTCCCGGACACTTCACGCAGTTTCGCTGCCAGCTGGACGACACGGATTCTCTCGTACTTTCCTCAAAATTTACCCGCTGCTCTCTTTCTCGGATCTTCTTCCGTTGTCCTTGTTGCGGTTTAGATTCAATTCTGTCTTCTTTCTCAAATCTCTAAATGATATCGTGCACCGTGCACTTGCTCATGAGTAAAAGATTTGCGATCTCCCTGCAGGACCGTCCCTTTGCGTGGTGGAAAACCACAAGCTGCCTCTGCTCGAACGTCGAGTTCTTTCCCTTTTGCTCTATTGCAAGAGGTTTTTACAGGCGGAAATATTTACAGCGACTTACTGCATAGTTTCGTTTGAAACGTATGTTGTGCATCAGAACTATTTTCTTTGTATTATTCTGTTTTCTAATAATAAAAACACAGTTGATTTGCATTTCCTCATATGTAACTTCTGCGCACGTGCGAAAAATTAACAATCAAACAAGAAACGCCTTCAGTATTTTTGGCTGTCCGAATATTAATGTGAGCCGCTGTACATCAAATGAAAGAACATCTTTTGTTTTTTGATATCGCAAAATATAAAATATCTGTCACAATACAACTCGAATTAAAAAGTATTAATTTAGCGACGCGTGCATTTTTTCGAAATGTTTGAAAATTAATATAATATCGAAAATAATATTTGGGGAAAAATGACAAACACGTGTTTCACAATTTTGCTTATACTCTTAACAGAAAAAAGTTTGAAAATCTGAGATTTACACATGTGTCTCCCAAATACCCTATTGCAAATGAAATTTTCCTTAAATTTGTACCATTTGACCTGGAATGACCCAAACATGATAATCGGTTCAACATATAGTTCCTACACTGTAGAGCACTGAACGCATTCTTAGGAACCCCTACGTGCTGTGTAGTGGAAATATAGTGAGAATAAAATGAGGTATTTTCGAGCAAGTGTTCTTTAAACAAGTTTGAACTTATTAGAAACAAACATATATTTTCTGAACAGTTGGTGAGAGAGATAAACACACAATAATTATAATATCAAACACTAGGGCTGAAGGTGAGGATTGTAAAGTGTCTGAATAAAGAATAGAATATAATGATAGAGAAAATCGATCATTACAGTTCACCAGGCTATATATATATATATATATATATATATATATATATATATATATATATGAGAGAGAGAAATAGAGAGAGAAAGAGTCAGAGAGACAGAGAGACAGAGAGACAGAGACACAGAGAGACCAGAGACAAGAGAGAGACACAGAGAGAGAGACAGAGAGAGAGACAGAGAGAGACAGAGAGAGACAAGAGAGAGAACAGGAGAGAAGACAGAGAGAGACCACGACGCACGCACGACAGACGCAGCACGGCTCGAGAAGACAGAGAGAAGACATGAGAGATGACAGAGAGAGGCGAAGAGAGACTCATTCGTATTGAGAGACATGAGAGGAGACAGAGAGAGGCAGAGAGAGAATCATGAGAGAGACAGAAGAAGTCAGACAGAGAGAGGCAAGATGAGATGCAGAGAGAGCAGAGAGATGACCAGAAGAGAGACACGAGGGAAGATGAACAGAGAGAGAGACAGAGAGAGAGACTAGAGAGATGAGAGCAGGAGATGCAGACAGATGAGAGACAGTGATGAGATGCAGACGTAGATGAGATCAGAGAGAGATTAGTAGAGAGAGAGATAGACTGAGGAGAGAGACATTGAGAGAGAAGAGACAGAGAGAGCAGAGAGAGAGAGACAGAGAGAGAGAGACAGAGATGAGGAGACAGAGAGAGAGACAGAGAGAGAGTACATAGGAGAGAGACACTGAGAGAGAGAAGAGCAGAGAGAAAGGAAGAGCAGATAGGAAGAGACAGAGAGGAGAGAGCAAGATGCCAGAGAGAGGAGACATGAGAGAGATCCAGACGAGAGAGAGAAACAGACGAGGAGACGAAGAGAACAGAGAGAGACAGAAAGAGACGAGAGAGGGACAGGGAGAGGAGGAGGGGGAAACCACGAGGAGAGCAAGAGAAGCAGAGAGAGAGACAGAGAGAGACGAATGATTGAGAGAGAACAGAGAGAGATCTAGAGAGAGAGACATGAGATGGAAAGATGATGGACAGGATGAGTAGAGACAGAGAAGAGACAGACGAGAGAGAGAGAGACAGAGTGAGAGACATGAGAGAGAGACAGATGAGAGAGACAGAGAAGACGAGAGGCAGAGAGAGATGACATGAGAGAGAGCAGAAGAGAGACCAGAGAGAGAGACAGAGAGAGGACCAGAGAGAGAGACAGAGAGAGAAAGAGAGAGAGACAGAGAGATAGACAGGAGAGAGAGACAGAGATGAGAGACGAGAGAGAGACAGAGAGAGAGGACAGATGAAGAGACAAGAGAGAGAGACAGAGAGAGAGACAGAGAGAGACAGAGAGGATGAGGACAGAGAGAGAGAACACAGAAAGACAGAGAGAGACAGAGAGAGAGACAGAGAGAAGAGCGAGACAGGAAGAGACAGAGAGAGAGACAGAGGTAGAAGAGAGGCAGATGATGGAGACAGAGGACAGAGAAGAAGACGGAGACAGAGGAGACAGAGAGTAGACAGCAGAGAGAGACAGAGAGAGACAGAGTATGATGACATGAATGAGAGATAGAGAGAGACAGAGAGAGAGACAGAGAGAGAGAGAGAGAGAGAGAGGTCGACTTACCCGCACCAAAAGACGCTCACCTTATGCACCAATTTTGAAAGGAAGAATATATAAAATGTACACAGCCCAGAAAACACTATTTTCTTCGAACTAACATTGTTTATTTAGCGATGTACCGTACTCGAGCGCAAATAAGAACGATTGTGTGGTTCGATTGTGTTGTTAGGAGCACCGGTGCGCGGCCTCCGCTCTTACCTGCGCTTTTCTAGGGGCGCCACCCCTGGCCGATCGGTGGCACAGGCGGCAGCAAAAGAAAAGAGAACCATTCCTTCGCCGCATAAGCGGCCACAAAAAAAGCTTCTCATTTCCGAACGCTAAAATGTCTTCAAGCGCAGCAAGGCGTAGTGGGCACCTGGAGACGTTCGCGGTCATTACATCTCGTGGTTTCAATTTGGTGCGGGTAAGTCTGGGCAGCCTCCTTTACATCTTATGACAATTATTTAATTTAAAATGTTTTACCTGAAGTCTTTTGGTGTGCCAAGCCACATTGCAGGACTAATTAGTAGGGCTATTACCAAAAACCACTCACAGAAACGTATGTGGGGAAGAAACACTTCTAACAATTCTTGAATGATTTGCGAGGCAAGAAGAAGATACACCGTTCCAGCTCCAAATAATGTCAACTGAATACATCCAGACACCAACAAGCTAAACATAAAAAGAATATTCAAAAATGTAGTACTTGTAATTGCGATACACTTCCAAGCAAACGTTTCTGGTGGTATAAGAAAAACTAACTGAATTTTTAATTTTAATTTAATTTCTAAAATTTGATCGGCAATTATGTCAATAATCACATATGTCAAGTATATTATTTCAAGTATTACCAAACTGAAATATAATAAATGATGAATTGAATTTCATTCGATGTACAATCATTTTATGGGGTTTCAAGATATGTTTTGAATTCCAATATTTGAATTATCAAATAACTGGTCACTTTTGCTCGGAGGTGTATGTACATAGTACATACGTAAGTTACTTAAAAGATACACTCAAAATAGAATTTTACATCTGTGAGTGGTCAATAAGAATCTTATGCAGGCATTCATTGAGCCTACGAATGTCATATTTTGAAATAATTTTCGTAAATCTCTACTCTTGCTGGCTTTCGTGCAACATTCGGGAAATAGGTGCTCGCCCAACGCGTGCACACTACCTCCATTTACGCCAAATCTACTAAAGATGACTTCAAGGACACTGTCATCAAATTAAAGTCGGCTTGGGGTGCCCTTCATTTCTTACATTTTAGAATGTTATTTCTTCCTCATCCTGCCAGTAGGTTTTCGGGCTGAGGCAGGCTTTCTCATCGAGCTCCAAAATATCACATCTCTTCTGTACTCTTATAACATCGGAAGTTTTCCGAACGCAGCCGCTAACGCAAGAGGAAAATGATTGCTAATTTGATGCTGTCGCCAGTGTTCAAGGAGAAACTTTGCGATGTGTTGAGCATAGCATTCTAAGAAAGACGATAGGATACACGCATTTTAGAGACATTTCAAAAATGTTCGCAACAAAAACGCTTTACGACAATGAACTAATGTAATCGTAATACCAAATAACAGTAGCTGATCATGCTTTGGTTGCGCGGTTGCACAACCGTCACATACTCGAAAAAGATCTTATATGTTAGGAATATACATTTTGTTTTTAATGACAATAAGCTTCCAATAGAGTGCAACAATATCGATGCACATGAAATCATTTTGAAATCAAAGAGCGCCCAACGAGCACTCTCTCCGGCGTCCGGTGCTCACCCAGGCAGTACACTATGTCACGTACTTGACTCAGACCTAGAATACACTACATACAGTGGGTGAAGCGTCTCCCTATTTGCAGAAAATTGGTACCAGGTTTTTTTCAGTCTTTTTTCAAGCAGCGTCCTCTGCAGATAAAGAGTATTCTAGTACTCCATTTGACGCTGGTTAAGGCCGGTTGGGCGCGTGCCGCGCATAATATAAATCCTCTTATTCTGTGTTACACGACCATAACTCAATTATTTGAAAACCAAATCACAATATGCAGGGAGAATGAACTGAGAAACTTTAAAAATACGTTGCTTTCTCTATCGATTGTCATAAGAATGGAAGCTGTTGAATGTTGTTGTAGTTCAAAGAGAATGTTATTGCAATAAGATGCAAACAAACAGGTCACAAATAAGGCGGGAATTTGAAAAATAATATATTTATAGTTTGATGAGTTCTATTTTTACAGTTATATGCCGAACATACTGAAGGCATTGTGAATATTATTATTCTAATCACGAATATAATTTAAATTCAAATAAACGAAAAGGCAACAATATAGAAAGAAGACACAAACAACAGGTCGATTCAGTACAAGTGCTACATGTCACCATCCGGCACCTCTCATGTTTGGACTGAAAAAAACAAGGCGGCAGTTAGTCCGGCGAGCGTCCACGAAGAGCTCTGAAACTATAGGGTCGGCCACTCTATGTAGGATATTCTTGCTCGTTAGCTCTGATACTACTCTAATACTGATACCTTTACTGCGTTTACTGCATTTACTCTTTGGCCTTAGTCTCTCCCTCCCTCTCCCTCTCTCTCACTGGTACCGAAAAGCAATGAAGAGAAACGATGTCCGTTCGTGTGCATGTTTGCTAACATCGATTTCGCATTATTAATACGTTTCAGTTTCCAGAACAGTCGCTAATGTGGAACATTATCAAACGACTCTTCGATTTTTTTCGGAAGTGGGATCATACACGTAGCCGTTTCTCAGTAGGAAGTTTGGGATTTTATCCACTGAATATGCAATCAAATTAGTAACAACTAGTCTAATTTCAATTTCGTCTAATTTCAATTTCGTTAAATTTAATGTTAGTTAGAATGGGGGTTTGTTTCCAACGTCTCACTGATATTTAGTGCAGACCTCATTTGCGGAAACTTCCGCAATACCTACAGGATCCTCTACCATTTTGCTATTTTGTTTCTTCAGAATATTTTTTCATCAACGTTTGAAGAGAGCTGTTGTCGAAACTGCTAGTAGAATCTCTTGTTTCATTGTTCTATGTTTTTCTTGCATCAATTTTCCTCGTGAGTTAAGTCAAATTATTTGAGCCTGCCCTATAAATATTGTAGTTATTTTCCCTTTAAGTCCTCTTGAATACATGACACATATGCACAGTTTTTTTCCTGTCTATTCTTTTAACTTTATAGTTTATATAATACTAACGGATTTTTCTATTAGTTGTCACACGTATGTTGTTATTTGATATCAGTTTCAGATTATTTTTTCTCAATATTTAATTGGCCATTTTAAATTTGAAATTCTTTTGCACAATTTCATAATCAGTAACTCTGAGAATATTTACGAGCAAAAGTTATAAAATATTGTTTTTTTCTCGCTTCAAATACAAGCAAATGCCGCAAATTTCGTAATGCCGTAAAATGGGGGACGCGGCCATCGGAGAGTAGGGAACTTTTAGTATGTTGTTCGGGGCTTTAAAGAGGACAACTGTGCTCATTTTCAGCTTTGCACATTTTTGTTCACGGTAAAACCCTAAAGTGAGTGGACTTTATGGTGGTTATCATTAAGAAGAAAACTGCATTGTAAGATTTCGGAGATCGAATGAATAGTATACATAAAACAGTTGATACTTTTAAAGAGCGGTAGTGTGTAGCAAGCGATTTTCTGCTCATAGATAGAAAATATTTTTAGCCACATTCAAACTTGTCTGAAAACTCGATCTCTTCTTTGATTTATAAGTTAGAATGAACTAAATATTCCCAAAGTACGTTACTAAGATTTGTTCAGTTTCCAAAGTAAAAACTGTGCGCAATTTCGAAGAGTTGTAAAAAAATATTTCCTTTTCTGTATGAAGAACACGGTTGCTCTGAACTACTTCTCGAAACGAGAACCCAGCGTAACAAAATCTTTTTAAAACTGAAACACTTTCATTTACTTCTGAGTCATGTTTCTACTTCACACATGAAACGGTTTTCAACGGTTTGGATTCGGATTAATTTTGATTTAATTCGATCTTTACGAGAGCTTCACCTTCTGTTTTCATTTGTGCACTGTATGTGTGTGTGTGTGTGTGTGTGTGTTTGTATGATAAGGGTAATACCTTGTTTTTCTGCCGAACGCTATGAGCGCAATGATAGGATATGGATTCCTCACAGGTGTTCGGTGCTCTGGGTAACGCTCTTCAATGATTGTCCAACAGGCCCCTAGACGAGTACCCCCGTAACCCGCATTGACACAAAAGCATACTATTAGCACCAATCCAATCCACCCTGAAACAAAGAAAGTTTAGTGTTACATGCGACATAAATTGTATAGAAATAATCACAACTAACATATATCTTTCAATGAAGTTTCACCCGTCTTAAAAGACGTTTCGAAAGGATGTGTTAAATTCTAAATCAATAAGTAATTTTAAATTGTGAAACTTTTTAAATTTAAATTGGGTTTAAATTGTGAAGATTGTAAAGAGAATTAAAAGCCTACACATTAAATCACTTTGAAAAATGCTCAAATATTTGATGATAATTACTGAGCCTTACTGGGCTTAGACGAAGGAGGAACCTACGTTAAGTATATTATTTTATGTTCTCTTTTCTGGGCATGGAATCACAATGGTGATTTGAATGAAATTTCTATCGATGTTATTAGCCATGCAATAAAATCCCATTGAACTCGAGTTCAGCCTGATGGAATGCTCAATGTTTGGCGCAAAAATGCCCAATGTCCACGGGCGGGCGGGCGCACAGACGGACGCACAGACGGACAGAAGCGGACATTAGAAATTTAACTTTGTACGAGCCGGATCCCACGGCCACGTACAAACGCCCAACAGATATGCTGCAGTAGTCGTAACGCCAATACTTGCATGAAAATTGCGGTAAACAACGCCAAAAGCTCGCCGAACGGCTATTTCTTTCTGACCTTGTTTTATTTTATGTTACAGATCAGCCACAGATGTCCGGATATGGATGGCTACAACGCTGGGAAGTTTGGCGGCAGTGCACTTCGCGGCCATATGGAACTGCGCTGCAAAGCAAGGAGAGGCGGACGGAGAGACGCTTTGTCGTCAAACGGTATTGTAGAATCAAGGTTCCCAAGAACATTAAATTTAACAACACAACGTGATAGAGAAAGTATTTTTACTTTCTCGCTACCGCTTATGCAGAAAAGAGAAAGTCATGCAAAGCTGTGGGAAAAAGTGGCGAATTTTCGGTAGGAAATTTGTTATTGCGGTTAATTCGGTAGGTAATTGTTATTGCCACGTCCTGGTAACGAAAATGTGGATAAATCCAGTTGCGAAATTTATAAAAATTCTTCTTACTCGTGGTGTAGCCAGAATCCATGTTTTGCCGGGGATACCGAAAAATCAATTGACGGCAAAACGTCTGTCAGTCAGTCTGTGAACAATGACCAAACTGTTCAGCCGATTTTCTCCAAAATTGATATTCCCCAATAAATCTGGCTGGTGTCACGGCCCCTTGAATTTGAAACCGATATTTTAATTTGCGGTGTGTACCTTACATGAAGCTCCTGTGGTATTCTAAAAAAATGTCTTCATCGTTGATTAAATTTTGTGGTTGAATAGTCTGAAAGACGTTTAACAAAAAGTGTAGGTCTCATTTTCGTTGAAAACCTTGATTTTTTGAATATTGCAAAAGTTCAAATTTTTTTACACATCTTCCTACAAATACATTTATGAAGATAAGAGATTTTTCCTCTAATGAAATATGTTCCTTAAAGATATATTTTAAAATACGGTAATGTACAATTTCTAAAAAAAGTGTGTACTTTTCTCGTAATTTTGCATGAAATATAGGCAATTTAAAATTTGTTTAAACAATTTTTTCTCAAAAACAGCTCCGATAATTTCGATTAATTTTTGATCTCGGATAGCTTATAGGACGTTTAAGAGACTGGTGTGGGGCTCATGTTCGTTAAATATTCTGATTTTTGAAAATTGCAAATATTCAAACTTTTTTCGACATCTTCCTACAACTACAATTATGATGATAAACATTGTTTTTCTTAATTAAATGTGTTCATCAAAAAAAGATCTTCAAATAATGTCATGTTTGATTTTTCGAAAACATGAGTATTTTTGTCAAACATAGGCAATTTTTATTTTATTTAAATATTTTTTCCTAAAATTGGCACATTTTTTACTGACTCTGAACCCCGGATAGCGCAGAAGGTCGCTTAAGAGAATGGTGCAAGTCTTATGATCGTTGGAATGACCGGTTTTTCGAAAATTTAAAAATTTCGACGACTTCCTACAACTACAATGTTGAAGATACATTTTTTAATGAAATCTGTCCATCAAAAACAGATTTTTCAATAAGGTCACGTTTAATTTTTCGAAAATATGAGTATTTTTTGAGTAATTTGACATCAAACATAGTCGCCCGCTCCGAATTTTCTGAGCGTTATGAACGTAATATAGGTGATTCCCGACAGTTGGATGCTAAGTTAGAATTTATATATTATTTTATATTTCTTTGTTGTTTTTTTACATGGGAGCTTTTGTTACACGTTTACAAATAAATATCTTAGAACTCGTTTAAAACCTATTTGATAATTCATATTTTTGCCCATGTTGCGAGGAATATTTCGAATTTGGCTGAGGAGAAAGAAAACAAGTCTGTTTTTGCAACTTTCAGTAGGAAGGAAACATTAAATAATACTCACACATGTTATATCATACTGTCCAAATTTTCTATGTGAATTCACTTTGATAGCACTATTTGTTTAACTTTCTACTAAGTAACGTGTGATCAGAATTTGGGTTTAATTGTTGTTGACATGTTTCCTTTCTCCTCAGAATCGACAAGAATCGAGTCTAAATAATACTGGGTACGCAAATCAGAAATGCAATACATTTTACACAATAATATGCAAGAATATTATTTTTGTTTTTGAACAACCATTTATCCAACGAAATAAATACTTGTGTAGCAACAATTGGCTAAATTTATTACATACTGTAAAGAGTTTGGAAAAAATATAATCACATGGCTTTATTCTCTTTACCTTTTTTCACAGTTTTATAAAATTTATCAGACCTTTTTTTATAATGAAGTTTAGCCTTTGCTGCACGTTTAGCGCTGTCGTACAAAATTGTACAATTGCTCCAAACTCTTCACATTTGAGCAAACATCCACTTCAATACTACTTATAACAATACCAAATCTAAGTTTAATTTAAAAAAATAGTGGTATTGCATGCATGGTATCGCATACCCTGCATGGAGAGGCGCATCTACATATTCCGACACCCATGGCAAGCATAAAATTTGCGTCTCTGTCAGGATTAAGGTTGTCATTTGCTTTAGCTGGTATACTCTAAATAGTGCCCCAGTGAGTGTCTCCTATGGTTCGTGCCGTGTCCGTCATACCGTATATATGCCACTGCATGCATTAAACGCGATACGCATTGCAAACATTCAAAATCAAAATTATAGTACTGAAGAGAAACATGTGAGTGACTTGATCCTTTCCTCCGCAGTACAGGTACCTCGATCTTGCTAATCTGTGTTAAACTGTAACATGATTCCTTTCTTCATAGTACAATTTGCCTTGCCTTAAAGAACAACTTTCTAAAATAAAAAAATGCAGTTTTGACTTGTTCCCTTTCTTCCCATTCTGATTAATTCGCATTTTCAATGTATTGATGTATTTGCAAAAGTTCAATTCGTTTTCAGCGTCTTCCTACTTCTAAAATTATGAAGATAAATTTTGTTGCCAAAAGAAATGTGTTAATCGAAAACAGATCTTCAAAAAGGTCATATTCAATTTTTCAAAACCATAAGTATTTTTTGCGTTAATTGGAAAAGAATTTGAAATGGTAAACTCAAATTTCTAGGGTTTCGTTTGAGGTGGTATCGGTTTGTAAAAGGAATTTGAGACACGGAGGTAGTTGCATATTCCAAAAGTGGCTTCTCATTGTTTAACTTAATATTACATATCGTAGAACATTAGGTGCGAAAACCTAAATCTATATTCAGTTGCATTGTAAATGCATATTAAGTAACCAGGCGCGGATCCACGGAAAGGAAAATGAGGGAAATCACCCCCGAATTTTTTCGGTGACTATTAATTTTAACTAGTCACGAAACTTTAAAGAAAACGTGTTTTTTGATAATCATTCAAACAAACAAAAAAGTATACAGCATTGAAGGCTTTCACGGCCGGAGTCAATATTCTTCATGTCTTCCGGGCTGATGGGCCGTGGTCCAATTGGCTTTGAACTGCCAAATGTTTCGCCCACGACTGCGGTGGGCATCTTCAGTGGCAGGTCTCGGGCGAAGTGTCCGGGACGGTGGCTGACTCGCGATTAACGCCGCGTCCTAACGCACTAAACACCGCGCCACGCAAACCCAATTGTTGGTTGCGCTACGTAGATGACACCTTCATCATTTGGAGCCACGAGGAAGAGACACTGGAGAAGTTTCGACAACATCTAAATAGCATTCACCCCCGTATTCAATCCACTATTGAAAGAGAGCAAAATGGACAACTGCCTCTTCTTGACGTACTTATTGATAAGAGGGAAGACGGATCGCTACGCCATAAAGTATTCCAGAAAGTCACCCACACGGACCGATATCTGAATAAAATATCAAACCACCACCCAAGCCAAAAGAGGGCAATGATGACACTTGTCCACCGCACCAGACGCATATGCGAAGAAAACAACTAGCACCAAGAACTCGGTCATCTGGGAAAGTTCAAGCCAACGGTTACTCATCTCAAGAAGTACAGAGAGCACTACATCCAAACAAGAGCGCACACAGCCGGTCCGAGGAAGAGGCAACCAACACTATTACACTGCCATATCTCAAAAACGTCACTGATCGCATCAGCAAGATACTGAAGCTACACAAAATTAAGACAATCTTCACGCCAACCACACAGCTTCACAACATTTTTCGTTCAGCAAAAGACCAAAGAAATCCATTAATGACAGTAGGCGTGTTCAGGATTCCCTGTTCCTGTGGTTCCGTTTACATAGGAACAACGCAACGCTCAGTCAACACTCGCCTTGCGGAGCATAAACGGAACTGCCGCTTCGGCTACACTAAAAGATCCCCTGTGGCTGAACATGCTCTTTCGGGAAAAGAATACGACATTTTGTTCCACAACACCGAGATTTTATCCACTACAAACCACTACCACGCCCGCTTACGAGTAGCGAGAGAGAAGGAGTCCATTTTTTCCGCCTGGCATCTCGTACTCCAAAACACCAAGATAAAACCTTACAATTATAAAATTTC